TAATGGATTTAACATTATGCTTCGTTTTAATTGCACGTATTCGTGAGAGCTGGTTTCGAGCGGAAACAATCGAAAAATTAAGTGGAAAAGCGGACGAGTTAGTCCAGAAATATGTATATAAAAAAGGCTTTAATGTCAGAGATATATTATGATATAATTTTACTGAAAAACATTAAAAATAATTACGCCGACCAGGAAATGTACAGGAACGCGCGACAATATCTGTTTGAGAAATTTTTACGTATGATAAACGACGGCTCTATCGCACGCTGAATAATAAAATTAATTACGCGTCGGATAGTAATTTTTAAATGTAAACTCCCCTCTCCTCTATGTAAGAGAGTTTTGCAATGGGATTTGATTAAGCGGCCGAATTAATGAAGTATCCAGGGGAATAAAATAAATTCGCAACTGCATGAGAATTATTTCCAATTTTGTCCGCTCAAGCCGACGTATTTCCGTGCGCGCGCGCACTCAAACGCAAAATATGCGCGTTAACCTTCGGGGGACATGGCGTCCCTCCAGCCCGTTCAAATCCCTTTCTTCTTGCCTCGTTTGTACACGCGAGATTAACGTCCCGAGTAATTCTGCAGGGGGACAGAGAGAGGATGCGTGGGCGGAAGGATGTGGCGTGAGAAAGGAGAGTGGGGTGGGAGAAGGTAGGATTGCGAGACAGAAGTTTCGCCACGAGAACCGACGTTTCCTCTCGGGCAAGTTTTTCCAACCGAATCTTTCGTGCCTATCCGCTTATATATGTGTGTGTGGTATAGAGACAGGGGGTGCGAGAGGAGGAGCGAAGGGTGGATACATATGAAATCCACGTGAATTTCGCGGCAGCCCGCCCGTTAAACTTCCGCGTACACGAGTTTTTCCATGCAAACTCCCCCTGTAGTAGGAAAGACAATCTCGCGTTACGACGTTATACGACGTTATTCCGGGACGTTCTCGGCGATTGCGCGCCCTCGAGCACAAGCCGAATGAAATGAGTGATGTGGATCGTGCGTGTTATTTCTCAGCTGTCGATGGTGATTCATTCCGATCAATCTGTGTCGATCCTTCGTCATGTACGTTGATTAATTATCCGAGTGTATCTACCGACGTATAATTGATGACATAATCAAGACGCGGTAAAGTTTGCGTATCGCCGGCAGCTTGTATCGCCGGCTGTTTGCGAAACCGCAATATCAATTCGACGAGTTAATTTGTTGTGTGTACGGGCAAAACGAACATCCCGTTGGCGCGCGAATAAAGCTAAAAATGGCTTCTTGTGTAACATCGAAGTACGAACCCACACCGAAATTATAGCGGTTTCAACCTCCGCACTTTAAATGCGCACTTTTATCGCTTATATTTGCTCATACCGATGTACTTTCCGCACACGTATCGCCGCGTTTACGTTAAATACAGATATTTCATATTATTACGCCGAATAGAGAAATATTTATTTTAGATATTAATTTTATACAGCACATCAATTTTATATTTTGTTTATTTTGTACGTCGCTATATTTCGTTTAATACATATAATGCAGAAAGATCGCGCGACGTTCGGACGTGAGCGGGGAGATGTGTGTGCGCGCGTGCTAACAATTTAAATATTATTTGCGATGTCTCCGGAAAGTATAACAGAAGAGATATTCGAAACTGCGCTGCCGATAGAGCGAGCTCTCCCGGCGTGAATCCAGAAATGGAGCAAGAGATGACGTTATATGTGTCACGCAATGTCGTTTTTATCATATCGCGTATTGTTACATTAATGTCACATATGAATCGGATGTTCCATAAAGGACAAACATTGTCGAAAAAACGAGCGTAACGGAAAATACCATTTTTGCTTTTATTTCCCGTAAACGCCACAGTCTTTTATAGAGTGCCGACCGGCGCTTATTAAATGTTATCGGGCAAATGTCATTGTGAAAATAAAATGAACGTCCCGCTTTTGGCCGGAATACAGGCCGCCGGTCTTTTTACCTTTGCTTCTATTTTTTTTTGCAAAATAAATAAATGCGAGACAATTCGATGGCTCAACAATAGAGGGGGAAAGAAAATAAATGAGAAAGTGAGCGGGGGGGGGGGGGGGGAACAACATTAACGAAAAATGCCAAGGGGCTAATGCGCGCGGCGTGGCGTAGAAGTGATTACAGTGCTAAAATCGAAGTTTTTACACAGTTCCGTTAATCCGCCGTTTCGCCGCGATTTATTAAATTCACGCTGGCAACCGATTTTTCTTTATTTCCACAATTTGCGAATGTGCGAATTGTACGTGCCGACGGTCCCGGGGAAACGGGATTGCATTGTACGTCAAAATGTTTTATCGATAGCGACGATGGAATTTATCAGCGCGCTAATGGATCCGCGGCTCGTTTAGAACTGTACTCGCGCGAAACACTTCGGCGGGCGGAGCAGGAAGGGGTGGATCGCTAAGAAACGAGGAACATTATAACATTGTGCCGTTAACAATGGATGCCGTAATATCACCGCACTTCGTATTACGCGTGTGATATCTCGGTTTACCGCCGCATAGTTGATCCCGGAATAATTCTGGTTTACCGCTGTATAGTTGATTGACTATATCGAAATAACGCGAATTTATCAGTCCGACGTATTAAAGCGGCACATACGCACGTGTCACGTCGGCGTTCGCCGATGTGTTGCGATAAGAAGTTTTCCGTGTCGGCGAATTCATAAACATTCCTCGCCGGACAACACCTGCCAGCCGTTTCTTCGAGTCATCCATCTACTTTGCATCCGCTTCGCATATTAAATTTCCGTTGAAGCGCGAGAAAATCGCCGAAAAATCCACGGTAGCGTTCATCCGCCGTATTACACGTGCAAACATTTGATACTTTCTCGCGCATCAAAACGGCCAACGTAAAAACGAGAAACTTATATCGAGTGTCTCCTGGCTTTCACGCGCTACCTTTCGGACTAGCCGATCGCTTTGAGTTCCCCTCGGATTTTTCTATGTTAATTCAAACGCTGAATCTTGGTCATTTTTATGAATTTCTAAGCATATTTCTTGGAATAAACAGTGAGTCAATGTTTATTTTACTATTTGTAAAGTGTGGAAATACGCAGAAAGGAAATAGAAAATTAAAGCAATCTAAAGGGCGCAGCAGCATAAAGGGGGAAAAATTGGATTTCGTCCTTTGTGGCGACCTTATTTCAATATTGTTTGTCTGTAGAAAAATGAATTTATTAAACAATAACACCTTCAATATCATACGGGAACCATAAAACCGCATTTTCCAATGGGTTAGAGGGTAGGGAAGGAATACCGTATCATCAGGCAAGATATAAAACAGACAAAAATGGCGCTTGTCGTGTTTTCCCAGAGCGAGTTACGCAAAACCCACTGGATATTTTCCCGGCCGTCGAACGAACGGAAGTATCCAATCACCCGTATTTCGAGCGGAATCCATTGGAGGACCAAAACACCAGGATATAGATTATCGGCGCACGATACTTTTTGCGGGGTACGATCATAAAATTGGGGTTGCCAACGCGCTAGTAGCTGCCGCCGTGTGTAATCTATTGACACACACAGTTTCAAAGCTAGGTTCTAAAACTAGCGCTCGGTACAGGATTAACGTACCCGCGCGACAGCAACAAAATGGTCGAAATTACAAAATTGTCCATCGCGACAAAATTCGACGGATTTAAACTGCGCGCACAGAACGATTGTAACTTTACAAGACTGTTCCCCTTCAGATTGGCAGGATCAAAATTTGAAATGGCATTAAGAATCGTCTGTTTCTTTTGTAGGGATCACTAGAAGCAATGCCCGTGCGCGTGTGTGTTGTGTGTGACTTAAAATTTGTTTTTATAATTATACAGGGTATTCAAAGAAAACCATTCAATATTTATATGGTAGACGCTATACTGAGTAAAAAAACCTTAGTAAACAAAAGCTGAACCTTTTCAGAGATATAAATATTTGTCTATGTTAGCATCATGATTGACTTACTGGTTTCTATGCATGTGCAATATAAATATCGAATGGTTTTTCTAAACATCCTATATGTGCAAATGAAGGCTGGAGAACAATTAAAACGAGCTCGCGATATTTCATACCGCGCTTGTGAGCATAAAAAGTCACATCGGTAATTTCCCCTTTTCCAGATTTGCAATAATTTTAATTCGACGTGCGGAAATATTTCATAATGCTTATGTATAATGACGTGGTCGCGATGGCCATTTCGTGCGGGCAACAGAAGGGAACGCGGTGATCATCGACATACACACCGTTCGGGGCGACGAAAGCGCCGGTTTGCAGCGGGCAAAGGGTGGAAGGTAATGGGAGCGTAGGTTATACCCGTGGCCACTCAATTAAATCTCGTCGACGTCGCGTGCAGGCATGCACTGGCGGAGGCTTCGAGTGGGTGGCTCTCGAAATTTATTAGTCCGTGCGACTAATCCGGATAGCCCGCGACTATTACCCGCAACGTACGCTACTTCATCGCAGACAGGTTGAAAAGGCAGGTGTGCGCTCGTGCGTTTACGATAAAGCGGAAACATATGTCGCGAGCGTTCTTTTTCGCGAGAATCTTCCCACACGTCTTCTGGATTTTGCTTTCGTCGATTCGCCGAGCAATTGAAAAATTTGTGAATCCTCGCCCCACTTAACCGTCGAATCCGTCAAGTCGCGATAGAGTGGTAAGGAATATCTGACTGAGCTGATAACCAAGCTATTTGAACTCAATTCAGGGAGGCTACGATTCGTTTCGGCTTTTTCTAACAACTCAAGTACATTCGCGGGCTGGGAGATGCTCGATTTAAATCACCGCGTTCAGTCTAACAAATTTCACGAGACAACTTCCTCAAAATACACTTCGCGTTGAGATATCAAATTAAACGTCTTCTTTACGCCCGAACGTTTGATTTTAGCTCGGCTCGCCTGCAATAGTATAACGTTGTCGCGCGAAAATCCTCGCTGAATAGCCGTCGCGCGGCCACCGATTTATAGGGAGTGTCCAAACGGAAATAAAATTGATATTCACCTATTTCGGGCACTGGCTCGCGTATACCCGCGCCGAGCTGCAGTTCGCTCACCGCCGAGTACATGCCGGGGATCTGCGCGGTGCAACGTAGAGTCAGCTGGCCGCCGTTCGTGTAATGGAACGGTTGCAGGGTGAGACTGACTTCGCCCAATTGCGGCCCCTCAAGCATCTGGTACCTCGCGGTCTCCATCTACGACAAATCATCAAGCGTGAGCTCGTCCCGCCGAACGTCAAAAGGTGCGAACGGCGAGATGTAAATCAACGAGATCCGTTCATCCGGAATCGTTCTATCCATCCGCCCTTCAACGGCGTCGTCCTATACGAGGGTTTTCGATGGAAAGTCGGAGGACTCGCTCGTGTTCTTCCGATTAATGTCCCCTCTACTTCTCCCTCATTCTTCTCCCCGCTTTTTTTTTTCCTTTCCTGCATGAGTCGCAGCGACGAGTGAGCCAAAAAGTATTGGCCGGAATGACCGGCTTCCTTAATGGGTCGTCCCCGGGAACGTGATGGCGTCGAAAGTGAGTGTGTACGGTAGAATGAATTGTAAGTGAATCGCGAAAAGTTTACCTAAACTTTCGATGACATAGGCGACGACAGATCGATAGAAGCCGTACGTCTCCGACGGAATCCTGCGGGACGTAATTTTTGCGAACGCGATGATACCCCACCCCTCGAATGAACTTCCGAAGAGGAATTTTCGATTTTCGATGCGGGAATATTGGCGTCGTGAATATCGTCCAGAAACGCGTGTTTAGGACCCTCGCTGTCGAAATATCGCTTCGGCGATAAAAGTTGGACATGTATCCACGATAAATATGAAATTCGCCGCGCGTACACACCATTCGAACGTCAGTTAAATCCTAATAATCTTGTTTATATCGAACAGTTTCCTAACATATAGGCGATGCATTTTTCTTGTCGATCGCAAAGTTACTGAAATAGTCAAGATAGAATAAACGAAATTTTTATGTAGCGAGCCTATTGTCGACACATCCTATAGAAACCGAGAATGCTTACAATAGCAAGAGGTATCCTTGAACAATAATTATGAGAGAAACGCAAACAAATTTTGCGGGCTAATCGAATCAGCACTGTAGTGAAATTCGATCTTAGGAGGGTGTGACTTGTGATCGTAGTCAATCAAACGAAGCCAAATTAACGAAAGGATCTCACAGTGAAGCCACTGCCGTACAATAGTATCACAACGACGATTCCGTAAGTTCCCCCGAGATCGCTTTCAGTATTACCGAAAATATTTCAAAGTTCAAAAATGAACTGTGTGATTCTGAAAGCGGCAAGTTTTAGATATTATATTATTAAAATACATCTCCTTTTATGTATATTTTGCATATAAATTATATTTCGCGGCAAGTCGCTTCAGAATAATATAATAATTTAATGGTAAGGAAAATAATTAAAGAAAATCCGTTAAAATACTATATAATTCAGTTATGTTTCAATGATGCTGTTTGAGAACGCGATCATCCGATACGCGGATAAAGCTCAGCTCGCGAAATTATATCGCAAGACATCACGAAAGAGTCGAATGTCTATAGAGAAGTATATCCGCGCGATAATTGATACGTCAAGCTGTTCGAGCAAACAATATCGGCGTGCAAGCGTCACGGAAGCACTTGCTGACTTTTCTCAGCGCAGGAATGATGCAATTCGCGCGGTATGATATACGGCGGCACGCGCAAAAAAGCATCTTGACCAATGACCGAGTAGCATTGATGCTTATCCCCTTGCCATGGTAAGTGGCCGAATATAAATTCCGCTTTTTAAACAGCTACCGGGGCGAAATTCAATCTTGGAGGGAAGTGAGCGATTACAGCGGTTGAAATACAGATTATGAGAAGGCGGCCGCTACGTCATATTTAAGCGCCCCGGATTTTCTTTGTGAGCGTCTAAAGGGAAGGCTATATCGTCTCTCTCTCTCTCCCTCCTCCTCCTCCTCCTCTCTTTCTCTCCCTCCCGATATGTGTCCCGCGCGATGGGAAATTAAAAAAACGCTTGAGTTTACCTAACGTGAAATTTTCTATTATGAGATTAAATGTGGTCGGTACGTCCTATTGAGGANTTATATCTCCCTCCCGACACGTGCGATTGAAAATTAAAAAAACGCTTGAGTTTACCTAACGTGAAATTTTCTATTATGAGATTAAATGTGGTCGGTACGTCCTATTGAGGAAAAAACCCGCTCTAATATTACTTGGTGCGTTATAAAGAAAGACGCGGGCGCAATTTGCACATTTTTGCAAAGTCACATTCTTGCGCAACGTCGGGTCTCGATAAAAGATTTTTGACTGAAATTCTGCACGAGCTTGCGAGAACATAAAAAATCANTGTCCTATTGAAACCCGCTCTAATATTATTTCGCGCGTTATAAAGAAAGCTTTGATGCAATTTGCACATTTTTGCAAAGTCTTGCGCAACGTCGGGTCTCGATAAAAGATTTTTGACTGAAATTCTGTACGAGCTTGCGAGAACATAAAAAATCAGGCAATATCGTTGACTTTGACCGAGAGTGCATGACTCGACGAATAAAAGGTAAGTCGCGAAACTTTCTTTAATTGCCTATTTTCGTCGAAAGTTTCAAGGATGCATCCTTGCGCTTTAAGGGGCTTGATTGGTCAAGATTTTATTACCACCTTTCCTGCAGAAGTTTCCAATTTCTTACGTGAAATATTTCGCACGCATTAAATCTTACGTTAAAATATTATTAAAGTTATACCAGTCAGTGTGTTACGTAAATATTTCAATTTGGATATTATAATCGCTTCTGCGAAGCTTTAAAATGATCAAAACTTAGCTTTAATTTATAATCGTGCGCATGAATTTGTCCGCAAACGTTTCTATATAGTTTATCAGAGAAATTAGGAAAGAAATTGACAAATTTACAACTCGTTTGACATTCATCGCAATAATTGTCGGAAATGTACGTTTTAAGGCCTGATCAATTTTTCGTAGATATTTCACGGAATAAAAAAGTATCCAAAAGAAACGTTGTAAAACGTGAGTAGACGTTAGTTACTTCGCACACATCAAGAATGCCGAAACGCTAACGATGTTTGCCTCAAACGNATCGCTTCTGCGTAGCTTTAAAACTATCAAAACTTAACTTTAATTTATAATCGTACGCATGAATTTGTCCGCAAACATTTCTATATAGTTTATCAGAGAAATTAGGAAAGAAATTGACAAATTTACAACTCGTTTCATCGCAATTGTAATAATTGTCGCAAATGTACGTTTTAAGGCCTGATCGATTTTTCGTAGATATTTCACGGAATAAAAAAATATCCAAAAGAAACGTAAAACGTGAGTAGACGTCAGTTACTTACGTCGAGACGACTCAACCGAGATGCGTTTGTCCATTGTCGGGTAGATTCGACCAAACTTTTTTCCGCGTAGATTCTTCTCAATCGCACGGTTAAATTCTTTAGATTCGATGTTATTTATGAACTAAAGATATTTTCTAACACAGAGAATTCCGAACATGACGAGTTGAGAATTTCGCGTAATCCGAAATCACAGTCCCTCCCCCTTTCATTCATAAAGCACGGTCTTCCGCAATTCACCTCCTTCCTCCGAGGTAACGTGGTAAAACGCAGTAATTCGCGCTCCTACCAAGTGCATTCGGCGTTTCATTTTTAACGGCGAGTTTACGAGCGAACTCAGTTAGGGAGATACGTCGAGTTACTTCTCGTCGCTTCTTTATTCCCTCTCGAGCGAACCTGCTTGCACAGTTACGAATTCCACGCGAACCACATCGCGATCCTGAAGACTCTCGCAATGTTCGTATGATTTTTATGCCTTTTCCTTGTTTTAATCAGACGTATACTTGGTTTAGCGGAAATCGTGACCAATTGATTTATCTTCTATTCTAACGGAATCGAACAAGCTGAGATTCCCAACGTGTCAAAAACGGTTATGAAATTCCTGCTTGCTCAATTTTGTCGGCAAACAATCGAAATAATCGATTAGTCAACTTCAGCCAACCGGTCCCCCCCGCTTTTCCACATCTTCCCTTGCAAGGATAACCGGTTGACGATTCGCAATTTAAGATTTCGCACATGTTGAATATGTACAATTAAGAACGTCAACCGCTCTATCTTCCATCCATTATCTATCTACTCGTCCATCTATCTATCTGTCTATGTAACTATTTATCTATATCTCGCCCGATTCGATAATACGACAATCGTGTCGTTACTTACCAGCATGTCGTTCAGCGTGAATGAGAGATAAACCGGCGACGACGGCGGCAGGGTGCAATTTGCCCTCAGCATGTCTCCCGCGTCGTAGCGCTCACGTTTCGATGCGATAACGGGCGCTCCGTCGGGCACATCTGAAACATAATCATTTCGTCGGTCTCTCTTATAGTCATTGTCAACGAAACTCTCAATCGCGCAGTTTCCCCGGAACTCGCAACTTATCCAACCATCCGCGGTAAGGTAGCTAAACGTAACCGTGGGAAAATATTAAGCGTGCTACGGCGCCGACGAGTGGGAGGGGGTATTGCCGCGGCGGCGGTGTAAACGTGCGCGATGCAAAGACAATAGCTGCAAACTGTGATTAAAAGCTTGTTTGTTCTGGTAAAATGAAGTGTGTCTGCGAACAGAATCGGCTATTGCCGCAGCACGGACTCGCGTGAAACAATAAAGAAAATTTCGCGTTGGGAAAAAAATTCATCGGTAATCGCCGCGGCTCGGCCGGTACGGAGAGGAAGAATATGCGGGGAGCGTGATTTTTCCAGGAATTCATTTCGAATCGAATGTTATCCGCGATCGAGCGAAAAATTGTAACAACCGCACGATCTCGATCTCGCCGAGAGTATGAGGAGCTTCGTTAATTCCTCGTCTATCGATTATTTCGATATCGGCAGTAATTCGCGTCCAAACGCATACGCGGTATCGCGAATTTTTATTTGTTGCGCCAATACTTTCAGGAAGATTGCGCCGCGAATGCATCGTCAATTTACGAAACACTTTTATCGGTACGCTCAAAGGCTAAAATCGCGGTAGATATCGAACGTTTGCCGTCTGCTTCGCGCGCGGGAATTTCACTCCCGAAACGCGTCCGCGAGCATTAGTCGCTTTAAAACGAAAGAGCTTCACGCATGTGTGTCGATGTAACGACAACCATCGGGCAGTTACCAAGCGACTATCAATGATCATGAAAACTTTTGCGCTACGTGCGGCTCCGAGTAGCATTAATTACGCAATAACCGTGCGCTAAATAATGTACGAAAATTAATTTAAGTAGAATATAAATGTAAACGCGAGTCTGAGCCCCGCTTGAATCTATTACACTCATTAATTGCCCCGAGATCATTCCATGAGTGTTCATCATAATGACCGTAGGACACATTCGTGAAATCACTGAATTATATTACACACCTGAGTCGGCGAACTGAAATCTATTATTCGTCGACGAAATATAAGCAACGGGAAGTGAAATGAGCACGGCGGATGTCAACGACGTAAGTGCTCGTTTATGAATATATTTCGGCAAATTGTGCAAATAATCCCGCGGTCGGGAGCGCTCGGAGCGGCAGTAGTTATTTTAGACCGGAGTCATGAATAATTAGGACGGTGTTTAACATTGAAAATTAAAGATGCGGCTAAGTTTCAAGTGTGCAACGAATGACGTAGCTTTGTGCCGCAGTTAATTCCCACGAAATTTTACTTCACTAACAAAACTTTAATTTGAAACTTAATTGCGGCAAGATATCAAAAAATTCACCGGTCATAAGGAAGAAAATGCTACTCTCTTTCCCTCGCTCTCCTTCCGTTAAGAGAGAGAGAGAAAAACATTGCTACGGCGTTACGGAGTCGAGTAAATATTAAAGGAGCGATCGACGGTGGAAGGCGGTGCGTGAATTTCCGAGCACAACACGTCATACATCTAACTACGTCACGTATCGCGATTGTAAAAAAAAAATGTCGAATCACTTTAGCGTTGTACAATTTTAAAGGACCTTTCGTTCCTCTAACGAGGTTTCCTGCGAATTTTCTTTCTGATGGAATGCTTTCTAGAAATAGCACGGCTCGTCGGACATAACGAAGTGATGTTACCGGCGATGCACGCATTACAGGCGCAATGTTCGTATAGTTGGGTAATTCAGTAATGCCGTTCACGAGTTATGCGCCATTACTGCGCACAACTCCGCCAAGGGACGGACGTTGCGGCACGCATATTAACGTTACGCACTGCACTATAAATCCACGCGAGTCCCTTCGAACAACCGGCCGTAGCGCGCCGCCGGTTACAAGCGAGTATCACTCTTTTTAATTTCAACGCGCGTGTGTATCGCCGACTCGGCAAATCGCGCATGGGACGCGACACGAAACGAGAGAGAGAGAGAGAAGAGAATTTCTGATATTCAAGCACTTTTCCGGTCGCCCCACGCGGAATCGCGTGCGCGCTTTAACGCATAGACCGTTCGTCGAATTCTCCGATACAGACTCGCGAAATAAACTCTCTTCCTCCCGGGGAGCGGAAGGATGGGGCGCATTCCAAGAATAGCGTCGCGACATGTGGCTTTTGTAATTTCGAAATATGGATTCTATTCAAATAGTTTTCCGCTCCCCGGCACGTCCGCGATGAGGAAAAAAATGTCTGTCAATTTCACCGCTCGATTTCATCGCGAATAACGGCGAAATAGAGCGATATCATACAATATCATACAATAAATATATAAGGTCTAGTAAAAAGTAATCCATTATTTTTGTATCAAATTGGAGGCTTTATTTAACATAATTACAATGATCCGATTTAGGTTAAATATGCACCGTTTTGTTCGATAACTTGTTGCCATTTCAAAGGTAATTTCATTATGCCTCTCTCATAGAAACCCTCGTCCCTATTGGCAAAAAACTGGGAAAGTCGATTTTCACAAGCTTCTCTTGAGGCGAATTTTTCACCAGCAAAAAAATTCGCCATAGACAGGAACAGGTGGTAATCACTTGGTGCCAGGTCCGGACTATAAGGTGGATGCAAAAGAACCTTCCAACCAAGCTCCCGGAGCTTCTGGCGAGTCACTATCGATGAGTATGGCCTGGCGTTATCCTGATGGAACACAATTCCTCTCCTATTGGCCAAAGCTGGCCGCTTCTGGGCGATTGCTTCCTTCAGACGGTCCAATTGTTGACAGTACAGGTCCGAATTAAGAGTTTGGTCGTAGGGGAGCAGCTCATAGTAGATAATTCCCTGCCAATCCCACCAAATACACAGTAAAATCTTCCTGACCGTCAACCCTAGCTTGGCCACCGTTTGCGCCGGCTCATTGCGATTCGACCACGATTGTTTTCGCTTGACGTTGTCGTAATTGACCCACTTTTCATACCAGTAACCATCCGCTTCAGAAATGAATCGATTTTGTTGCGATTCAGCAGTGATTCGCAGATGGAAATTCGATCCATGAGGTTTTTTTGCGTTAACTCGTGTGGCACCCACACATCGAGCTTCTTTTTGAATCCAGCCTCATTTAAATGGTTCCAAATGGTTTTTTGTGCAATGTTTAGCTCCTTGGCAATCGAAACGGTGCTTACATGACGGTCGGACTCGACGATTTCCATTATTTTATCAACATTTTCGACAATTGGCCTCCCGGAGCATGGTGCATCTTTGACATCAAAATTACCGGAACTGAATCGACGAAACCAAAATTGCGAGTGATTGGCTCTTACAGTATCAGGACCATAAACACTATTCACATTTTTAGCCGCCTGGTTTGCGTTTTCGCCTTTATCGAAGAAAAACTGTAAAATATGGCGTATTTTCTCTTTGCCGGTGTCCATCTTTGACGCGCGCTCAAACAATACTGAGTCAAGCAATCACAAAACTGTCTGAGAGGTTTTTTTAGTATGAAATCTTATCTTTCTAACGTCATCTGGCGTAATCCGATCGGACTTATACAACGCGAGATACAGATTAGTAAAGCCCTCTTGGAAAAATAATGGATTTCTTTTTACTAGACCTAATATAAGAACCTCCTCGTTTCATATTTCTGAAAAATCTCACAACATAAGAGAAATGAAACGAAATAAAAAATTAATATCGAATAGAATATATGCGAAAATAACGCACGTTAAATAAAAACACACCTGATAGCAAATCAAGCGGCACAATAAGATTATATAATAAACACGGCACTTCGTTCACTATCGTGAAAAAGCTGAAATTGCAAGCACATTTATTAAAACTGTCAGCTGTAAAAAGTAAAAAGAAAATTAAATTAGCCACGCTCGACGAAATAAAAACCTGCAAAAGCATCAAACAATTTTTTGTTGACGCTAAACAAAACAGTATATGTACACTAATAAAATTTGTAATATAGCGTACCCTCTTGTGGCTTCCAGAACTATTATCTCAAAAGGAGCACCGTTTCCATTGGCCGCGCGAATATATCGAGAGAGGAACCAAAATAATTGGGGAAATCCTTTCAGTTCGGCGATTATCTCAGCACGCGCGTTGATCCAAAATCAGTCTTCATGCAAGCATATAATTGTAGCATTTTCGGCTGGTAGTCATGCATTCGGCGGTCGGTTCGTTGATTAAATCAGTGAAATTCTGCAAAGTCTGCAACCTCATAGTTCGATTTCGTCCGTTTCTATAGAAGTGTTCCGCAAGGCGCCGCGATGCAGCGACACGCACAGCAGGGCTGAATCTGACGAGCGAAACACGTGTGTTGCGAAATTTTATTCTCGCACGCGACAATATAAAAGACGAAAGCAAGGGGCTACGAGAGTTTCGATTCTCGTTTTCACGCAAATTCTGCGCAACACCGTTCTTAACCCCCCGCATCGGCATTTATTTGGCGGATTCATGTGCAGCCAATTTCACTCCCGGAAGAAACAGAGGTATACAACTCGAATTACATCTACTTTACAAACTCGTGCGACAGGATGGCTACCAGACAACTGACGAGAAACGATATCTCCGTTGTCGTGACCAAAAATATTCGTCTGAACATTCGGCTGCAACTCGGTTGAGTAACTGAGAACAATTGACGGAATTCTTCTGCTTCTACAGTCGAAGACTCCATTAATTTTGTATTAGGCACAGTAATATTGCAAATTAAGCGCATTATTTTGTTAAATTTGTGCAATATATTGCTGTTTAACATATTTACCTTGCTAAATTAGCACAAAATTTCAGCAGACCATTACTTACACGGGGTTTTTTGCTGAGTTACTTGTGCGATTTTCCACTTTATTTTCACTTTAGTCGATTTTATTGTGCCGCTCTCCATCTAGGTACATCATACACGACCGTACAACCGAGTTTTTGTCTGGCCCTCAGACAATAGAGAACCAGTTACACGAGTTTTTCTCCAATCTCGCGGAATTTGCTCAAAGGCTTGATTATCATGAAATAATAAGTCAAGTTTGTAATTAGCGGCGTGCATATTTGACTTGCGCGAAAGCGTAATAGATGTCATTGCAACGCAAGGGGTTAACACGTTCTCGGCGTAGATACCTCCTCGGTTTTTCGCAATTTATGACAAGCACCGTGGAAAGGGCCCGCCGACAATGCGTTAATAACTTACATAGCGAGAAGATTTCAAGAGCTTGGCGGACAGATGTATGATATTACTACCTCTCGCGGTCTCTCGAATAAATCGCGAGTCATCATCCGATCGCAACACCAAAGAGTAGAAATCTCCAGGTGCTCGTAAATCTGATCGGGTATTCTGTTGGCTAGCCTCTCTCTCTCTCTCTTTCTTTTGTCGGCTACAACGACAGTATAAAAGTTAAAAAATATATAACATGAAGATAACGAACGAGAAGATTCATCGCTGCGAAGGGAAAATATAAGACAAGTGATCTCGCTTTTACGAGATTTATCGCTCATGATGCCTTAAAAAGGCAACAGATAACTTAATTAGCAGGGGATCGAGCATGTCTTGAGTGTGCGATTCACTCTATCGAATTTGTTCGTGACGCGTAATTATCGCCGAGTGTTATCAGCCGGAAACGTACTTTCAATTACATCGACTGAAAATTCCACGCGACAAGTTATATCCGAGACGCCGGGATGAGTCGTGCCAACGAACGATTCGGTGTGTACGCAGGATCTTGTGGCTGGAATGTCGCCAGATCGCCGTCGTTGCCGTCGAACTGATAGAAGCGCAGGAAACACATGTGATTTCGTGTAAATAAATTTGCGGCGATATTCTTGGTGAATGCTTAAATGGCGGGTGACGCTCCCCACCGCCGTTAAGAGGGAAAGCGGGCGTTAGAAAAAGCGCTGGGAAAATTCTGACTAGTCGGAAATTGTACAGGAAGTCATAGATTCCCGCACGTACACACGCGAAACCAAAATGAGATACCGGGCGTATCGAGCGACAATCAATTCACCGGCGAGGAGCGACGGATCAAACAGGACAGAATTAATAACGACGCAACTGTGTGCTTCGCCGCGGGAATAGCTCTCTCCGGATGGCTTACGACGGTTGCATCGCGCAAATGTGCATCGCGGCGACGAGAGAATTAGTGTAAATAATGTCGGGAAGATAGGTTTGTGGCTATTCGCGAGCACTGTGGAATTCTCTAGTTCAACATATCTCGCATTTATGTACCTGGATGTTTATATGTGGAACTTTATATTATATTACCGCGTTTACCGCTCACCAAATTGTTTCATCATAGTATCAAAGCGAGATTTCTGAAACACCTGGTCAACATTACAGACGTTTATATGCGTTTTTATCAGAATTTTATCGGAAATTAAGCAAATTTTTTTTGCGAACGCGCACCATTATGCACTGCTATACAAAGGCGTGGATCCGCGTAGTGAACGTGTCAAGTTACATATTTTAGTTCTTTTCTCAATTGTCTTACGCGTTTCTCGCTTTTCGTTTTCACTTTATTAAATTCGACGATAGCAAGCGACGTATTAATAATCGCAGGTATCCATTTTACAAGGTTCCACCCGTTAATCCGACGGACGGTCACTCGATCAATGAAATCTGTTTCGTAATGAGGTTTTTAAAAATGAAGCGCCACGTGTTTGGATTGTCAGAGACGACGATAAATAATGGCAGTCGCATTGCACATTCAAAATAACGCCATTAATTATGATTTAACCTACTTTATCTCTTTCTGCAAATGAGGCAAATGAAACCGGGTTGACCTCCTCTTTAACACAAACTGAATAAACGAAGCTCTATAGGTCAACTTGCTTTTTAAAAAGTGGAGTGCATCGTTCAGAAGAAAATACGCGAAAACATTTATGTTGGCTTTAATTGCAACGCATTGCTGCTCGCAACTAAACGGAATTATCATTCGTATAAGAGCGAAAACGAAGCTTCAAACCACAATCGTGTAATTGAAATTAAAAAGAAAAATGAGAGAGAGAGAGAGAGAACGACGATTGATTTGCCCTGGCGAGTTTCGACCTGAAATTCTTTCAAAATATCACTGGGAATGGTAATCCAGGCGGCAATTGTAACAATATGAACGAAACTTTTAATTGCTCGTCATGGAAAGCGTCATTCTGATATTCCGCGGGGAAATGAGCTCACGTCACGGTAGCTACAATCGAGTCTCGCGCTCGCTGTGCTCCACGGGGACTATTCAATTTGATAAAATAAAAAAGCCGAGACGCTCGTCTGACTCAGCCGTGCGCGGCTCTAGGTAACTCCGAGAGAGAGAACGGCGGTCCTTCGTGCGGATATCGCGTAATACGGTGCAGCATGTACTTACCTATTACGGTGAGATTTTTTAAGCTGGAAGCCATGAAGAAAGTGAGCGCTTCCGCTGTGACTTCGCAGCTGAATGTGCCCGCGAGCGGGAAGTCGACGTTGCGAAGTGTCACTTGGCTCTGGTTCGAATTGGCGGGCTGAAACACAGGTCCGCGGTTAAGGCGCCGAGAAGTTGGGTGAGTCGATTACGTTATTGCGCGAGGACGAAATCGTCATTTACATACAGCTGATGTGATTTAACGTGCGATCTAATTTGCTGAAAAACGCCGGCGTTTCGCGCGTAACAGTGGGATAACCGCGAGAAATCTCGTGTTTGTTCCTCTGTCGCTCTGTAAAGAAAGATTAATCCCGCGAGATAATGTTATCTCCGACGAAACGCGCCACGCGGATAAATTTCGCGCCGTGCGGATTACACTTTCCGCAGGCGCGAAAATCAATGAGCATCTCTTCGAGCATTCCCCGTCTCGTCGAGAGCAAATACCCCGCAGCTTTCGGATGGAGCGCCGTTGCACGATAACGTAATAATTTTGCGATCCCGCGGACAATCGAATATTACGGCGGAAAAACAACGAGGCGGCCCCCTCGCCCATCCTCGTTGGTCGGCGCGATTTATCCCCAATAAATGTCTATTAAATAAATACAAGCGGGGGCGTTACGCGTGTTTCGATATTAACGACTTGAAAACACAAGGTGCGAAACCCGGCAAAATGTATTACCGAAACGTAGATCCGTCGGCGGAAGCCGCGCGCGCGGTAAATCAAATATCGCTCCGATAAATGAGACAAAACAATTTTTCCCGAAATTTTCCCCGCGCGTTCCCCCGGGGATGTTCTGGCGGGCGGGTATTTTTCGGAACCGATGCCGTACTCACGGGGTGCTTCGTCACCGGCCGAAACGGGACGCAAGCACGGCCGGTGACGCGCGCGTTGTGTCAGGCCGTTCATTCGGCTGTACCGAAACAACGAGGGGTTTGTTTTTGGCGCGGCACGATTGGCGGTCGCTACGCCACCCCCGAAAACCACCGACGTGCTCGTAACAGCCTACGGAAATGTCGGAGCGATGATAAAAGACTGTTTTACGACGATTACAGCGGTCAAGGGCCGGCGTTACGGTGAAAGCACATATCTCTCATTGTCCGCTCGTCGATTCCGCCGTTGCCGCGGTGGCGCTCGAAAGAATAGCAGCGGGATAGCTTCATAGCGTCGGCTTATGTAGGGGCTGTTGCGAAATACTCCCGGCCGTTCGGATCCCCCTTTTATTCTTTTTCGTGTTTAACGACGCTCAGTGCTTAAAGGAATATTATATATAGCCGTGTCGATAAAGCCGTGAGGGGAGGACAAAAATATGATTTATCGGCGCGACTGAGCACGCCGGCCGACTACCCGTTGCACTTTCCTGCAGCTATCACCGACCGATTGAAATCACGAGCGAAAATTTGGTCATCCGAGTTGAAGTTCGGATCTTGTTAGGTAGCCATTTTCTTTTATTAATAACAACGAAACGACATATGATATTTTAATCATGGCCGTCGCTATTGATAACCTTTCGTTATCTTTCGTTTGATCTCGCACCGATAAGTAATTACTTTTTTGAGATAACCCGTTCGTCGAGCCGTTTCCGCACTTCCTCAGCATTCTGTGTATCTGATATACCGTATTGTACCGATCTGAGTAGATGCAAATCAGATCTGTGTCCGGAGAGTCCGCTAGATGCGGCAGGACATTTAACTTGGACAACGTCTCTTTAGTTGCAACATAATGCGGCCTAAAAGTAAAGCAGGATGACTTGGCGTCGATTCGCGGATATTTCACGGCTTGCTTCAAAGGCCGTTGACTATAGCGATATCCTGTGACTGCATGCCCCAATAGATCCAATATGATCCAATATTGGATCCAATATATGGTCAATATTTAAAAACTAAAAAGCAATTTAAAGGAACACAATTATTAAATCGCTGCCAACCATTTGTAACTTTATGAACTTTTGCAAACACCTAAATTATAACACGTTGACTATTGAAATTCTGTCGGACACGATTCTGTACAGGCTGTTATCCCCCGGTCGCAAGAAATAACTGCCATGAATCTTCGCTTCTAAATATAATAAATATTCTAATAAATATTCACGTGACATATATATTTACGTTAATAACGGATTATACGCGTTACTTGGATTATTTTATTTCACAGCATTTCCTATATATAATTACTGCTTTTATCCACTTTCAATTTTCATCCCCGATAATTATATACCAATATATTATTATCTGCGCAGAAATAGTTCATTCTATATTTTATTAAGGCTCATTAAATGGCAAATATCTGCCGCCATTGGGAATTCGCTCGCTTTATTGAAATATTCGCGTTAATGAATTCTATTCAACGTTGAAAAACGTTTCGCGTTACGATTTTTACTTGGTACGAAGAATTATATTCAAACGTGCGGGCGAAGCTTTCTACTTGATAAAAAAGCCGTAAAACATTCTAAATTACGTACAGTTAAGTGCGCTCTGGGAGGAGAATTTTATTAAAATTTAAATAAACGATGTGCGCAAATTAAGTTAATTTTCATACTACAGGCGGCATTACTAAGGGAATCGACAAAGTTCATTTTAATCATGAACACTTTGCGCCGTGTTTATGGGAACCAAATTAGTTTTATTTATATAATCGATCAACAAAATATAAAACATCGCTTGCACACTCGGAGGATAAAGCAATGCCTGTAACAAATATCTTTCGGGCTCCCTTATGTAGGATGAATAGTTTTCTGCAAAGCTTTTTCGCGATATCGAGCGCAAATTGATAGGATTAAATGCAGCAGTCGCTACCGCGTGTGAAATGTGAAATTCTTTTTTGAGTTCTTTAAGCGCCACCCAATATTTACCTGCGCGAACCTCGCGAGCGTAAAGTAGTTTCGACGACGCGAAAATTAGACCCACATTTGCTCGACGGTTACAGAATAACGAGCAAACTGCGCGATTCCCTGGACACACTTTAGCGTATTCCCGTAAGATAAGCTGAACGTTATGAGGATGCTCCGATTAAGGGAGACGACGCATCGTCGTGGAATTGCGAGGGTGCAAACGACTCGGTCGCACACCTGAGTCTCTTCCCTTCATCGACCCGCCGTTACATCACGTTATCATCGCGCGGGGTGTCTTCGAACAAAAACCAGCGTAATACTCGAAATGATTTTCTCCCAGGTGGAAACGCTGGCCACGGTGTAAGCGGTTCGCTTCGACATTTCCTAGGGAAAGCCCGTGGACGCGCGACAAAAACCGAGAAGAAATTAGATTGTCCGGCTTCGCGCTACTTTTTCAGAAGCGCGCGCGTGAGAGAAACGCGCGAGTCGAAAACCACCGAGTCCGAGCGCACGGAAACGGTAACATTATCGACTACTATGTAGAAAATACATTACATCAGCGAGAGAGGAATGAAAGTGGAAAAAAGTCAGCGGGACGCTTGTCAAGTGACAACGAGCGACTTACGTCGACATAAATCCCGGTGACGTTGAAGATCTTCGTAGCGGGGTCGTCGCTGGGCTCGAACCGGTAGAACTCGTACCAGCTGTGGTACCACTTGAGAGTGTAAAGCGGCTCATTCTTCAGATCATAATGGCACTGTAGAATCACCTCCTGGCTGCGCTGCACCACATCCGGGATCAGTTCCAGACTGACCCCTCGCAGGCAGCTCCCATCTTTGAGGAAAATGAGAATGGGGCATTAAATCTAGTGCGTATCGTTAGTCCGCTTTTGCTCGTCGCGCGAGAGGTTGCACAGCATGCGTCAGCGAGAAATTCCGCTGAATGACAATTTCCCTCCCTCGCTCGCTCAACACTCTCACGCGTTTCATCCTCCAGCGGGTTTCCCGACCGCGATACACGCGCGAGCTCTCCGAGAGGGCGTCCACCACACGTGTATTAATCTTTTAGGTACGACGCGCCACTATAGTGGCTTTCGCGGATATCATCTTTCAGGACGACACGCCACTATAGTGGGTCACTGAAAACAATTTTTTTTTTAAACTTAGTTCGCGTCAGACTCCGCCGTCCAGGGAAATAGCCTCGTGCAAAATTCAGCCGTACCTAAAAGCGTGACCCCGCGTTCGGTACTCTCACGGTTTTCGCGTAATCACCCCCTCTGACTTTCCCGCACTCTGTCGAACCCTCGCGAACAGCCAAGCATACGTGTTTTTCGCTGAAACTCCGTTACACCGGGGAGGATTATCGACGATTCGACCTATTAAACCGCCGGCGGAGAGGAGGCAGGCTCATTCGTGCGGGATGAAGCTCTCTTATTAACGTTGTAACGTCCGTCGAGACGAATGGGAGCGGAATTCCGCACGAGGGTGTCCCTCCCTCGGCGGCATCGGAAAGCATGTTTCGCGCTGACGATATTTTAGAAAATGTGCCACTTTCTAGCACTGTCAGCGCACGTTTCCACTCCCACTGGACGAAAGCACGTTCGCGCATATGCGCTTGGATTTCTTTTTCTCTCTCTTTCTCGTTGCGAATATATAGGATTCACCTATTTGCCGATAACGCGAGAATTTTCGATTCTTTCGAGATGAGCGAGGATTATCTTTCCCGAGAACTTTATCAGTCGGATTATGATATTGTGCCGTACATATTTTATGCACAATGAAATAATTAATATGTCATTGCGTCGTTCATTTCCTCCTCGATAATGCGCAATAATATTCGCCTGATCGATAATGCGAGAAGATTGAAATGCAACAGTTATGTATTCACTCTTCGATAACAGCGCTTGAACACTTTTCTACGTAATAATATGTGAGAAATTGATTTTTGATACAAATCACTGCACATCAGTGCATCGATGTATTTGCAGAATGCTGTAACATTTTTTTTTTTATTTCCCCATGTTTGCTTACAGCGATCGATTCTACCTGTCGTACAAAAGTGTCGAGGTGATGTTATCGAATACTTTATGAGCTATCTCAGATTTTGTATTGACAAGTATGTAAATGTAGGAATAGAAAATATACACATAAAATATTTGGAAAAATATTCACTCTTCGATGATTTTATTCCAATACTTTTATACGCAGAATAAACAGAGAATTTGTGTTAAAAAAAAAACTATATGATTTTATTAAAAAAAAAAAAAAAAAAGATCTTGCAGCAGTCTTCAATTATTAATTATAACAAAGTTAAGGTCATCATGTTCCCCTCCAAACTCTATTTATCTGCACTATTTTTTTTGTCAATTGCTTTGTTTTCAAGATATTCCACAGGTTTCCATCAAAACGGGACATCTTATACATATTTAGCGCTTAACGCTATTTAAGAAAGATCTAGTACACAGAAACAATGCTGGGGCGTGCGAAATAAATGTAGAAACTTTAATCGATTTAACAAAATCAAAATTCGCGCACGAAGAGTACGACGGCGTCGATGGCGAAGAAGGCCGACGGAAGACTCTTAACCCTTTCGCTACGGCAGTGTGCTTCGTCGGAGTGACACCGTTGAACGGGCCACCGTGCCGCCGGAGTAGCGGCACTGAACGGAGCACTGCGCCGAAAAGTGTGCATGTTGCGCTTAAGTAAACTGGTGTTCGGACTTACATCTTTCGGTGCAGCTTCGTCATTCTCCGGATCGTACGATTCTTCAAGTGTTATACAACAACATATTTGGAGATTTTGCAATTATTATCAATAAAAATATATTTAAAAATTAAAAATTACACTTTACAATAACAAACAACAAACACTTTCCAATAACAAATTAAAATTCTCAATAATTTAATTCACAGTGATAAATTATAAAGCAAGGGTCGACACACAATCCCACATTACAGACGTTGTCTATAGGCGACGCTCGTACACACAGGTCGTCGCGCGGATGTCGTCTATAGGCGACGCTAGTACACACAGGTCGTCGCGCGGATGTCGTCTATAGGCGACGCTCGTACACACAGGTCGTCACGCGGATGTCGTCTATAGGCGACGCTCGTAGCGAAAGGGTTAAGAGACGAGAGAAACTCGAGCGCGTCCGCGATGTTTGGGGTTTCAAACAAGAGTGAGTGGAGCCGCAGAGCAAAAAAAATAAAATAACATGTAAAACAAAATATGAAGGAACAAATATGGGTGCGAAAACAAACCGTTGCCTTTATCACTAATTTGTTACAAAATCATAATCGCCGCCGTTTGTTTCAACCGCCACACATATATGTGCATACATACAAATTTATGAATACCGATGTATTTCAGCCGTCTCGTATAAATTTAATATCCACGACACACGCGCGAAACGTGTAAGCGGCCAAGTAAATAAATAATATTTTATTCGCGCAGCTTACACGCGAAATGAGTTCGCCCGAATAAGAAGGTCGTCTTTAATACAGCGCACATGTTACACAAAGTCCTCAAGAAATGAGCGAGAAACACGCCACGCGAGATCGTGCGCAATATAAGAATGGAGTATGAGACGTAAGGGAAGGAAGAAAATATTAACAGTAAATGTGGCGGTGGTCGCGTAAACTCGAACGCGGTGAAAGCCGAATGAACGCTCGCCAGCATGCGAAGGGATAAAAATATTTCATCCGTCTTCGGGACGACAATCTTATCGTTCTTGCATATAATATCACGGAGATAGTCGGGATAAGAGCGAATGCGGCGCTTCGGTCAATGCAACGTTCTCGCAGGAAATTTCGGATGGCCTTGTAAACAATTTAAGCTCGATTGAAGTGGCCGAAGATCTTGGCCGGTCAACAATTCGCAGTGTGGCACGTGCTTGAGAGAGAGAGAGAGAGAGACGGTGGGATATACAGGAGGACGGGCGTCCTTTGTGACGTGAAATTTTAACGAAATTCTCTTTGACGAATCTCCCGATCGACGGTTTCCTTTCGACCGTGAAATTTATTTCAAGGACGTCCGCGCGATGCGAGATAATGTAACGTTATTTAGACGTTTAACGGATCCCACCGTGTCGCATAATTTCAGCGAGGAGAAAAAACAAAGAAATCATCGGTCGATGTTTCACGTCGCGATAACGAGCATCGCGATCGACGCACGTCGAGCAACGAAAGACCGCTTCTTCACTGCGACGTCACGCGCGATTACGCCCGTCCACTCGAGCGGCGTTTTCCGCTCTCCTCGAGGACATTCGAGGTGAATCCCGATGGACGGCTCGCTTACCTGTCATCACGAGGAGAGCGACGGCCGCTTCTAGCCACAGGTGGCGAGTCTTCATTTCGATAGCGGATTCCTCGAACGATCGGCTTCACTCAAGCGCACTGACATTCGGTTAGGTCGCGGAACTACGCAGCCATATCTGCCGCCCGTTATCGGCGCTCTTTTGTCTCGTCGCTTATTGTCACCGCTTCGACGAAACGTCGTCTTTTTCACTCTCCCTTTCCCCACTCTTCTTCGCGGGACGTGCGTTTTTGCATCTTTTCCTTCGGACAATCGCGTCGGTAATCGCGATCGACGGCGGCGCGTTATCGATCGAAAGCACGAACGTGGGATTTTAAGCACTGTTGACAAGGTAATTACATCTGGACTGCGACGGACGAGCGTCGCCGCGCGTTCTGTCGCGAGTCGGCCGCCCTTTCATCGCCACCAAACCGACGATCTCTCGCCGCTTCTCCCCTCCGCTCGCTCTCCTCCGTCTCGGGTTATCCCGTTCCCGCTACAACTCTTATTCCAGACATCCTTCCCGCGGGAAGAGCACTACCTTCAATTTGTCGGTCGGTTCTTGAATGCGGTTTGTTACGTGTCATCGTTCGGTATTAGGACGATATTAGGACGATTGTCGACGTGCGCCCTCAGACGGCCGCGTCGACCCCGGCGTGTCGTTATGCACCGAACGATCTTACCGGCTGTGCTATTCCCTTCGTTCTTTCAAATTTGCCCATTTTCGGCCGAAAGTCGCGGTTTAGAGAATCTCCGGACGCTCCCCGTTCGAGTTATCTCGTACCCCCAGCACATCACCAGTGATATATTCAACCCATGTAAAAAAAGAAATATCTCTGACTTCCATTTAACGAACATCATTTTGAATCGATGAAATCTTTCTGTGCTTATACGTGGCTGGACAAATTTTTTGAATTTAAGTCGCGCGTGTCGAAATAACAAATTGAGTGCTCGCTGCTCGATAAATCAAACAATTTTTCTGATTATATTCAATTAATTATGACAGATACGACAACATGAAACGATAATTCACTCTTCGACACGTAGGGAATGGAGAATTGGAAAGTATCGATATCTCCCGCTATATCGGCATAATGCATGTGCTTAGAGATCGAGGGGATTTTTGTGTCCATCGTCGAAGGATGGCATTGATGTAAATGGATTGACGGGCAATCTACAAAGATGAGTGATGAATCGTATTTTGGGCTCGACAGATGACAACCAATCATCAACAATAATAAAGAGTGTAAATCGCAATTCTATGATTAAATTAAATTTCGTCGTCGCTCTCGTCACAGTTAATTACGCGGCTTTAATTGCACGACTTTTATAATATTTAGCGGATAATTTATTCGTCGTTATTCTCAAATAATAATTCAGCAATTAAATTCCGGGATTTAATATAAATTTATCTAATATAAGCGTGTGTGTAAAAGACTAGCGATTGTTTGCCCATCGTTATAATGTGCAATCCGTTTTTTATTCGCTCAACGTAGCATTTTCAATCGCGAGAGACCCGGGAGAATGCGTGCGTAACGTGCATCACTTTAATTAAAAAGTGTCCCTGCGATATTTAATTTTCTCGAACCGGGTCGATATATACGTCTGTAAGTGTGTGTATATACACGTTCGATTACTAGAAAACAGATAGCTGAGTATCCATTCTGAAATCTTACAAGTAAAATTGTATTGCGTCCAAATATATCTCGATATTAATTTTTTGAAATATGAGGCAAAACAGGCCGGCGGCGATATTTGCGGAACCAAGGAAAATACCGGAGAGCAATTCCGCTCGTTCAATAATCCTATACCNTTTTCGCTCGTTCAATAATCCTATACCTTCGCGAGTATCGCCGGTTTCAAAATCTGTTGCGTTCTTTTTGCAAGCCGAATTTAACGAACCGTGCTCTTCCAATGCGAAATAGACGATGAATATTCAGCTTTGTCGTTTAACACCAAAAATTGTTAATTGAAACGAAATAAAAGTCTTTCCTTTATTCCACATTCTGTCTTCCCCTCTTCATGTTCTACTTATTGATTCGACAATTTGCGCTTGAATTTTACAGTGCGGACTTAATTGCAACAATATATATATAGAAATACAGGGTGCGGCGAAAGGTTTGCCCGAGTTTGAAAAATCCGTTGCTCACCAGATGGCGTGAGTAGGTTGTTGGGCAAGGTCTCATTAGGAAGGTTGTTCTCAACCGTTTTCAGTTAACATCATGATTTGGACTGGAGAACATCGTGGATTCGCTGTGCGCTCTTTTTTGGAAAATGGCCGTTCAGTCATTACGACGCAGAGAGCAATGCGCTTGCGATTCCATATTCCACGCCATGTTTCCGTATCTGATGGAAAAACAATCAAACGTTGGGTTTCTTCATTGGAAGAAACCGGATCCACAGTAAGAACTCATGCAGTTGGAAGACCCAGAACTGCAACAACACCAGAGAACGTGCAGTTAGTGAGGGTATCAGTGGAACGTTCGCCTAGGCGCTCTGCTCGGAGGCATGCAGTTGCACTGGGTTTGTCGGATCGTTCTGTCCGGAGAATTTTGCACGAAGAATTGTTTTTCCACCCGTACAAGATCATGCTTGTGCAAGAACTGAAACACGATGATTTTGTAAACCGTGTCAATCTTTGTCAAGAAATGCTCAACCGAATCCCTGCAACGTCAACTTTCTGGAGCACTGACGAGGCCCATTTCCACCTCTCTGGTGATGTTAACAAGCAGAACTTTCGGTACTGGGCTGACACCAACCCAAGGCAATTCCATGAGAGACCTCTGCACTCACGAAAAGTCACTGTTTGGTGTGCCATATCCAAATTTGGGATCATTGGGCCTTATTTTTTTGAGGAAAATGGCCATACTGTTACAGTTACAGCTCAACGTTATGTTTTCATGCTGGAAAACTTTTTTGAGCCTAAATTGCAGGAGTTGAGTGAACAGACAAATCTGGGGGAGATTTGGTTTCAACAAGATGGAGCAACAGCGCATACAGCCCGCATTTCTATGGCGAAACTGAGGCAAATGTTCCCTACTCGACTTGTCTCTCTGAGGAGTGATTTGGGGTGACCAGCAAGATCGCCCGATTTGAACATTTGTGACTTTTTCTTGTGGGGGTATCTGAAAGAAAAAGTCTTCAAGCATCGTCCCCATACCC